AGCGCTCACACACTATTTTATTTGGGTGACTTTCTTCAAAGAAAATTTTCACTTCTCACTCAGCCAAAACTTCTTTAATCTTACTGGAAGAGAGGGCCTCATCTCCTGTTCCCTGTTATGCATTCATTGTTTATTAATTTCAAGCTTTAAGTTGATTGCTTACTTAATTGAGTCTGGTCAGTAATTAAGTTATTAATTTTTGCTTTAGTTTGTTTAAAATTGGTTGTTAGTTTTAAGCCTTAAACTCTTGGTAAACTTTAAACTTAAGTTGGAAGCTTTAAAAGTCTTCTTAAAGTGAAATTGTTTAATTTTAATTTTTGTTTAGGAACTTAAAGTTTTACTTATTTGGTTTTGTAAAATTTGTTTTGACCCTTAAGGTTATGTAACTTTATTTAATTTAAAAGTTGTATAACACTTTTTTGACATGTTAATTTTTTATTGTTATTATTTAAAGTTTTGTTAACATCTACCACTCTTTCTGCTAAAGTCTTTTGAATCAATAATTTCTGGTTGTAAGGTGTTGAAGAAATATATTTTTTTTAAGAATTGATTTACTCAAAAGTGTACCCTAAATTTCAGCAACAGACGCTATTAAATAATATTAATTAAGGTTTTAATCAGCTTTTGTGTTTGCTGAATTTTATTATTTTTTTTTAATAAAGTTAATTATGTTAGTCAATTTTTATAATTGTGTTAAATTTGGATAACTCAAAATAGGTCTCTTGGGTTTGATTCTGTGTTAAAGAGACTTTAATTTCAAGTATTTCTTGAGTATTATCTCAATTTAAAAATAGAAATTATGAATTTAACCAATATAAATTTATATGCTTTTGTACAGAAAATGTGTGCCGTTCTGGTGGAATTATAGGTTTTTGCTTAGCTTAACTGCTTGAGAAGCTATTCATAATTAAACACATATTTATAGCAGAAAGGGCACAGATTTTCTGACTTCAAAATGTTCACTTAGAAGTGCAGTTTTTAAGCTTCTAGAGTTGGTTTTTGATAGGTGATGAATGTTTCCTCCCACCCATTTCCAGAGGACGAGTCCTCCCATGAAAAGGGTTAGTTGCCTTGGCATGTTTTTTGACGAGAAAATTTAAAAGGTTGAATTATTCTTGGAAAAACTTAAAAATTTTTATATGGTTTTGTTCTTGGTGTGGTTGCAGGTTTTTTTCTCATCTCATTTGGGGAGTTTTGGGGAATGTGGAAGTTTTCCGATTTAAAAACTCTTGTGCGCTTGTTAGAGCAGAGATTTTGCACACAAATTTCTGGGCCAGCTGACAGTAGAACGTTGCCGCGAATTAGTTGTGCGCCCACCTGCTTCCATCATAATTTAAATCCAGCTTTTGGGGAGTTCTTTATCAAAGGAGATTATTTTGACCTCTTCGGATTGCCAGTGATGGAGCCTACTGTATCGAATCATCTGTCACCTTTAGAAAACTCTCTGTGTGAGATCCAGTGAAGTTCACCAAAGCATCACCCCAGTGGAATAGGCCTAGTGAGCAAAGAAGAAGCCGAAAATTTCCGATGTTTTCCCTTCAGTGCAATGGCCACGTTACAGATTACGAGCTTAAATGGTCAACTTGGTCCACGAGAAACCCGCTGTCGAATGCAGCTGATCTGAGCATCCAGTTTTGAGGAAAGACAGTACCAGAAGATGTTTACAGAACATGAGTTACATTTACTTATATTTTCAAATCTGCCTTTAGAGATGGGTACAATTTGCAAGCAGTGCCGACGCCAATTTCTTGGCCAGCCACCCATAATTTTATTCTTGTAGAGTAATAAATGTTAATTGTTTATTTCATGAACAGATTACTATTGTTAATTTAAAAATTAAATTGATTTCTAACTTCTAGTACTCTGGAGGATATGCTTGTCTAATTGCAATGAATTATATATTTAATAAATCTAGTTTACCTACTATTTTGGTGTGATAATTGTTAATACTTTAACATGGTGAGTTAAAGAGCCGAGCTCTGTTTGTTTACATAATTATGTTTTCCCTACCCTCCAACAACAGCTGACACCAGAGTTAGTCAGAATGTGATCAAACTGAAGGTCAGGATCCTAAACTATGTTCAATTCAAAATTAATGAAAACAGGACACACTATAGCAGTCTTTAAAAAATTATTTCAGCTTAAAATGCACATATGCATCATCCATCCCTGAAGCTCATTCTCCAGCGATGCATGGGTAAGATGCCCAGCTGTGAGATATATTTGTAAGGAATATATGGTATGCCTGTCTGGAAAGAGTTAATAATCCCTCACTCGTGGTTTCCAGAAGCCTACAGACCTGGTCAGAAGTTACCTCTGTTCTTACTGTCTGTTCATGAATCTACTGGCTACTGCCCATTTCAGATGGTCTTTGGTCACGACCTTCGTCTGCCTTGTGATCCGTTGTTTGGCTGCCCTATGGGTGTGCCCTCATACCCTGAAAAGTAAATAAATTCAGGTTCTCCGTCATGGTTTGAAGTAATGCACAATTTTGCATGTGACAGAGTCAGCTAGGTGAGGGAGAAGATGAAGACTCAACATGACACAAAAACCACAGGACATAGATCCCACACAGGTGACCAGATGTGGTTAAGGAATTCCATTTGATGGAAAAGAATTTCTTCTAAACTACAGTTACCCTAGAACAGTCCTTACATAATTCTAAACAGGCTCAACGACATTGTAGTTTGGATCCATAAGACATCAAATTCGAAGCCTAAAGTCATTTATTACAACAGGTTAGCCTATTATTACACCCACAATATATAATACGCATAGTGTAAATACACTCATGTGCAAAATTAAAAGAATTTGCAAATTATGTTTATTTTTACAAAAATATTAAACCAAAGGAACTAATTATCTTGATGAAGAACTATGCAAATATTCAGAGTCGAACATGTAAGCATACACGTGCATGTCTGCAGAGCTGTGATTGTGGAGGGGATAAAGCGTATGAAGGGTTTCCCACAAAGTGTGTGCTTGTACTCCTTCACGAAATCTAGTGCTTTGGCAGCTCTGTTTAGTTCTATTCCAGTTTTAACACCTCACTAGCTGAGGATTTCAATTATGTTCCGATAAAATACTCTGAACCAGCTTATTTTAATTTAATGTGTAGTCTTGGACTATGCAATCAACATCTGAAATTAGTTATATGTTCCATTAATTTACATATTAATAAGTAGTGGAAGTTTCACCTGTACTATAAATTGTGTCTTTATACTCACCTGCACCATAAGTTGTGCCTTTATGCTCAAGTTAAGACTAAATAAAAAGGTTATTTAAACCTCCTTCTGCATTTGGTGAGTTGTTAAGATATAGCAATAACTTGCTATCCATCTAGTAGAGTGCAGTATGGGAGAGAAGCTACAGCCATGCCTTTAGAAACAAAATCTTGTTACTCACTTCATACATCAATAAGTAATCTATTGTCTTGATTAATATTTTCAATTCTCTTTACCTTATTTCTATGACAATTTCTTTTAGATGTTTTAACTTGGGCACAGGACATGAATGCAAACTTCTTGCTTTAAAGTAACAATTTTCACGGGTCATCTGCCTTTTGTTACTAGCATTGCCACCACGAAGTTTTACCTTGAGATACTGAGATCTGTTAAAGTTATGGTTATTGATATATTTAATAAAAGTAGAGGAATTATCAGGAATTTTAATAGTAATAATTATAGGTTGATTGTTTGATAAGATTATGATGCTATTCATGTTGTGGTCCACTGCAAGTAGACCACTGCTTCCACACCCAGAGCTTCTGCTTGAAATATATTGCCAATATTTTGCATATGAGCTCTCCAAATTGACTTATTTCCATTGATGACACACATAAATACACGCCCCGATACAGGCATACTCAATAAAAAAATTAAATAAATAAAGCCATATGATAAGAGTATTTGCAGCATGGCTGTCTCCAGGAATAACCCACAGAATAAAATGACAGAAGAAAAGGTATGGCCAATCAATCAGTCACTAACTATGCCTATCAAAGCACTGGGGACGTGAACCATCACCCAGTGCTTGGATAGGCAATGAACCAACTCTACAGCAATAATCTGTCCTCCAATAGCTGGACCCATTGAAAGATATACTGATGTAAGCATTTCTTAGATCATAATCACTGGATCGAGAAATACCAATGTCAAATAAAATTGCTTATGAATACAATATACATGGATTGCATTCAGTCTTGTTTCTTCACTTCATAATACAGATACACATATCATTTATTTTCGAACTAAATCTTTTTTTATTTTAATTTTTTAATGGTCCACCTTCATACAAGCTTTGCCATAAATATTTTAAAACTGGGCATGTGTCTTTCCAGGTAAAATTCCTGATACTAATGTACCCTGTCTTTGTCCATTTCTGTTCTCCTCCCATAGGTGAAGTGCATATCAATAATCCCCATTACTGCATCAATACACTCTTCGTATGCAAAGTCAATGATCCAAATGGTGCTGATTTGGGTTCCTCAACAGATTTTCAGGAAAATAACACCCTCTTCCACATTTCTGAGGATCCTACACGAAAATATTATGCAGGGAATTCTGAATCTCTGTGTGTAAGTATAAATAACTATGATCTAATTTATTTTTCATGCTTATCTTTTGAAAGGCTGTGTATACTCAAAAATATATATAGTAATAATCTAATCTAATTAAACATCACACAGACTTGCAAAGATAATATAATAAATATATTACATCATATCAGAAAGAGACCTGTGTTAATAAAAGTGTGAATGAAGGTAACAATTAAATGAATGCTTGCAAAGATTTTTTCTAGTAGTCTAGGCACAACTCCACTTAAACATGTAACTTGCATCACATTTACAATATTGAAATTCTTTAACTTTTATATATCTGATTACTGTTATAATGTATCATACTGGTTATTTCAAGTCCTTTAAGGTGTCATGCTATAAAACAAAACATGTTACTGAGTACTTATTAAAATTAAAAATAAATTTCAGTTGCTAAACTTACCTTAATTCTGGTTACATTATTTAAATGTCCTTCATCATCCATGCACATGGGGCTACCAGATGGGCGTCCAGGAAGGTTTGTTGTGCTAACTACAGTTGGCATAATGTTGTGACACCCAGTAATCTGAGGTGGTGGTGGTGGTGTATGCCTAGGATCCATAAGTTCGTCTTCAGAGAGCTCCCCTTCCCAAGACATTGGACGTTCAACTGTAGCATCCTCATCAGTAGTCAAAACACCGTTAACACCAACTATCCTTTGTTTTTTTGTCCTCAAACTAACTGGTCCATTGGCAACAACCTGCATTACCTCCGCATCATCTTCTTCCTCTTGGTCATGTTCCTTTTTGGGAAACATCTTCTGGTCACCGGATGAAGGGCGAGGAGGAGATGATGTGGGAGGTGGTGGAGGATTGTTCCCTCGGTGGTCACCGAGAAATGTCACTTTATCCATTGTCATCCAGTATTTGTAAGATGGAGTGTGGGACTATCCCACTCTCCAATAGTTTATCAGATTCTGTGATATGTCGGAAACAATATTTACACAATTTGTTGACTTAAAGAGTGAAGATTCTTAACAGAATCTTAGATTCTTCCCATTATCTGAACTCAAAAGTATGTAAATGAACATTCATCTCTAAAAAATATAAATAAGGTATAAAATAATGCCTATATGAAATACTAGGTATATTAAAAAACTTTGGAAAATTATGTAATATGTAAATTATGCCAATTGATAATAAATAATTTTGCTTTTGAAAAAGGAAGAAACAGTAGCCTTGTTAAATAACTTGAACTGCTTCAACCATGCAAGTAATTCCGGAAGTATGATTTGGACCTGAGACAGTTGTAGTTAGCTGAGAAGATAAACACAATGCATAGATGATATGCTTCATAAATTAAGAGTTCTATCAGGGATTCCAAGCGAAGTCACCAGAAAGTTTTCCCGCTGGATGATTAGGCCACTGGATAGAAGTGGCTCAGACAAAAAAAAATATCAGTCAGTCCACAATACTTTCGGTAATGTCAGTGGTGCCACAGAATTTCTGTAGCGTGCTGGCACCGGTGTCGGTGGCCTCGGCCACCAATATAATTCCAATAAGGCCAGTACTCAAGGCGAAAATTATGTCCACAAGCAAATACTGTGACATACCAAATGGATGCTTCACTACTCCGTAGTGGGCAATTCTTCATTCTTGGCGCTGAACAACAGGTTTCAATCTGAAAAATAATGACAAAATGTCAGATACGCCTATTCCATTAACACACAGATGCATAAAAATACCTAATAAAAATTTTAACTTTGGCATTATTCAGATTTGTGGTATATTAAGATAGAAGATAATTCCCCCCTCCCCAGTGCCAAAATAGGTTACCTTTAATCCTTAACATAAACAAATTTTAAAGAGATGGAAAATTCCAGGTGGGATAAAGTTCACATTCAAATATTTAACAAATACCAGGAATATTACTAGATTACTGGCAATATTACACACAGGAGTTTTTTCCATAAAAGATTCAGGTAAATTTCTGAGATTATTTTGATCAAAAAAGTAAATGCTGAATAACATAAACCAAAGTTGTACTTTCAAAACAAAAAAATGCATGCTGAATTTGTAGATCTGTCAAATAAAATTGGATTTTTTTTCCCCCATGTTGCTTTGTTTTGGGTACACATACTGAATTTACTACAAAAATTTCACACAGCCACAACTGTGTGGAACATTTATTTTTTGTTAATCTACTTTCATTGTTTATGTGTCTTAAGAAATCCTACAAGTATCTGCCATTATCTTTCCATGCTACTAACTACAGAACATATTGTCCATCTCTTTCACAGCCTGATAAAATCTTTCAACTTATTCCTCAGCAAATGTTAATTTTAGGTAAGCAATGACCAATATGCATTGTATAAAACTCTTTGATATTCTTGGATGTCAGTCTTACGGTAAACCCATTGCTGGACAAGTTATTTATGGTAACCGATACTTTGTTGTCATTTTATCTAAAAAATAATGCGTTTTATTATGCATAAATTCAGTGTTTTAAATATTATTTATGGCTTCTAAATATTAAAAATCAATTTAATTTTGCATTCTTATTTGAAATAAAAATTTTATTGTTTATGATATTTTATACTGTGGATGATGTAATAAATGACGTCACATTACTTTAAAAATAATTCGTTTTGATATCTATAAATTTAATCTAATGCTTTAAGCATTATTTATGGTTGTTAAATATTAAAATACAATTTAATTTTTGCCTTTTTTTTTAAAATGATGTTATTATGTAGGATTACTTAAATAATTTTACTTCTATACGTGATGTAATCAGCTCCCTGATTGGTTACTGAATATTTGTGCATTACCGTGCCATTTTAAAATTTTATTATTCATCTCTTCAAATTCCTCAGATTTCAAAGCGAATGGATATGTCCGTGTCGAAGATTAATGTTGTTATTAGTAATTAACAAGAATTATTGGTATTGGAATAAAAAAATTGCCCTTTGAGACCTTATTTCGGCCAACTTGTCTTTCCTAATCAAAGATTTATTTATAAATTGTAACAAAGAATCAGAGGAAATTTATTTTAAATTTTTGGAGGAAACCTTGCTAATTGCTTCTTCAATGAAGTGCGAGAGATGTGGATGTGAGATGAAGGTTTTTTTTTTTTTTTTTTTTTTTTTTTTTTTTTGTGTACTTATCGAATACGACTTGTAAAAAAAAAAAATGTAAGTACATATTTTATTTACACTTTAAATTGTATACTTCAATTTTATTAAAAAATTAATACATTGTTTTCAAAATTCCCGAGATATTTATTGCCACATGTTTTAATGTTAAATAATTATATCCTTTAAAACTTATTTTAAAAGTATTTGAATTTAACTAATATTTTAATTTTTTTAAACGTTAATATGATTATTTTAATTCGATATTCAGTTTAAGTAATATTTTAATCCAATTAAATGTTGACGCAATGTTTTTATAGTGGTGTTTTTATTCTATTATATGAAAGTAATAATTTAACCTTACTTTAGCATTTTATACTCTTAGTAAATGTATTTAATTACATTTGCCAGCCATCTTAAAAACAACGTTTTCAACAGAAAATTAATCCATTATTTTTAACGATATTTATTTATTTTTTTTAAGTTTCGAATACTTTACTATGCGTAAAACACGTAAAAACAGCATTTTTCAAGATGGCTGACGACTATAAAAACCGCGCCAATATAAATCGCCAAAAATCCGTGCAATCGTCTACTAAAGTAGTACCTAATAAAGCGCCTCTATCTTCGAAAAAATTAAGTTCCTTACAAAAACATTACATGATTAAGAATATCGAATTTTGAGAAGTTCCAAACGTATACAGTACAAAGTCCGAAATCCGGACTCGTCGGGACTTCGGCGATTCCGGATTTGGAATTTTCCGGATATTAGAGCATAAATTTAAATCTGGTAAGATGGCATGCAGAAATTATACAATTAAAAATATGAAATAAAGATCAATTATGATCTAAAGGGTACCAAAATTTTCAAAAAAAAGCTTACTATTTATTTGCTTACTTTATCATTAGCTTAATATTCAGCTTACTTTATCATTAGCTGAATATTTAGCTTACTTTATCATTAGCTTAATATTTATTTGCTTACTTTGTCATTTCTTTCAATGTAAGCTGTTTAAATTGCTTCGTTTTCTGCACTAATACTTTCTCTTTAATTCTATAAACAGACATAATTTTTTGTTCAGTTACAAAGTTCTGCTGCTCAAGTCTAGTAATTGCTGTGTCCAGAATACAGACTAACTTGTCGATCGAAATTTTTTCGTTTTCAATAACCTCTCTGTCACTTTCTTCACCATCGGAGTGCTACTTTGGTAGACGGTTGCACGGATTTTGGCGATATTTTTTTTGACGAGTGATATGACTTGCTAGACAAGTTATTTATGGTAACCGATACTTTGTCATTTTATTAAAATAATGCGTTTTATTATGCATAAGTTCTGAGTTTTAAATATTATTTATGGCTTTTAAATATTAAAAATCAATTTAATTTTGCATTTTTATTTGAAAAATGTATTGTTTATGATATTTTATGTAATTTTATGTTGTGGATGATGTAATGAATGGCATCACATTACTTTAAAAATAATTGGTTTTAATATCTTTAAATTTAATCTAATATTTTACATTATTTATAGCTGTTAAATATTAAAATACAACTTAATTTTGCATTTTTTTTTTAAAAATGATGTTATTATGTATGATTATTTAAATAATTTTAGTGATATACGTGATGTAATCAGCTCCCTGATTGGTTACAAAATATTTGTGCATTTACGAGCTGTAATCAGCTCCCTGATTGGTTACTGAATATTTCTGTATTTTCGCACCATTTTAAAATTTTATTATTCATCTCTTCGAATTCCTTACATTTCATAGGCAACGGATATGTCCCTTTCGAAGATTAATGTTGTTATTGTTAAATACCAAGAATTATTGGTATCGGAATCAAAAATTGTCCTTTGAGACCTTATTTTGGCCAACCTGGTTTTCCTAATCAAAGATTTATTTATAAATTATTACAAGGGTCAGAGGAAATTTATTTTAAATTTTTGGAGAAAACCTCGCTAATTGCTTCTTCAATGAAGTGCAAGAAATGTGGATCACAGATGAAGATCGTTAAAACAGCCGATTCTGAGGACGGCCGTATATGGTATTGTGGTTCACGGTGAAAAAATAACCGCTGTAACGGTAAAAAAAGTATTAGACAGTCCTCCTTTTTTTTTACCCGCAGTAAACTTCTAATTGCTGTCATTTTAGCTCTAGTATACAAAGCGTTCTTATTTACTTATTTTAAAGTATTTGAATTTAAGTAATATTTTAATTCTTTTAAACGTCGGTATGATGGTTTTTAATTTGATATTCAGTTTAAATAATATTTTAATCCAATTAAACGTTGGCGCAATGTTTTTATAACGTTGTTTTTATTCTATTTCATTGTTATATGAAAGTAATAAATTTAACCTTACTTTAGTATATTATACTCGTAGTAAATGTATTTATTCACATTTACCTGTCATCTTAAAAAACAACGTTTTCAACAAAAAAGGAATCTATTATTTTTAATAATGCTTTTTTTTTTTTTTTAATTAGTTTCGAATACTTTACAATGGGCAAAATACGTAAAAACAGCTTTTTTTCAAGATGGCTGACGATTGTTAAAACCGTGCCAACAATTGCGCCAAAGTAAATCGCCAAAAATCCGTGCAACCGTCTACCAAACCAGCACCACTATTATCAGTAGCGGTATTTTCTGGATCTTTCTGGATTCGCCGTTCGTTAACTAATTGATAATTGGGGCATTGTCATCGCAATGAAAACCTTCTGTTATGTCATCTTCATTTATTACCACTTCTCCAGATTTCTTTACAAAATCCATTAACTGGAAAATTTTACCTTTAGCTTGCGATATCCGAAAAACCTTCAAATTCGCGGCTATCATCTTTATCGTCCTCTCCATGAAATATGGTAGCTGGCCATAAATTATGCCAAGCATTTTTTTAACGTATCTGGAGACACATACTCCCACGATCTTGCGATGCTCCACACAGCAGATTTTATGCTAAAATATTTCAAAAATTCTTGACTACTCTTGCAATTGTTCAAGAAATTTAACATGTATTTTAAAAATGCTACTTTATATTTGCATTTCAGCGTTCGCACTATACCGATATCCATAGGCTGAATGACAGGCATACAATTTGGAGGAAAGAATAAGAATAATATGGATACACTATCTTTCACTAAAACTTTGAGAGAAGTATGAGTCAAACAGTCTTCTATAATCAGGGACTATTTTTTGAGTCATCAGGTAAACCAACTGCAGCGGCAGCGCCAAACAGGCGATACGGACTTAAAAACTGTATAGAAAAGCGCCAATTGGCGAAACAGTAAACCCGTTTGGCAAACCTACAGGCTGACGGGGAGAGAAGAATTTTCCCAGGCAGTCAAGTGGAACTACTTCAACAAATGTGTGCATCTCTGTTTTCGCCGAGATATGTGAACTTGTGTACTCGCATCTGTACTGTGCTCTGAATTTCTTGAGCCGTTATAATGTACCCGGCAACTGTTACTTTTCCTTATTAAATTTGATTATTAATTGTAACATGTCTATCTTAACTAAGATTTCGGCTTTCCTAGTTAACCCATTCCCTGT